CCAGTTACTAAGCAACATTTTAGCCACATATTCGCATATTATCATTACTACAACATTTAACCATTTTGATTGATTTGGATTCAACACTCAAATTTTGACTTTTGATCAAACCGCTCCCCATATTGGCTATCGGATTTTAGGACTTACATCATGGGAACTTTCACAGTAACTAATTTGCCAAAGGACTTGGACGAATTCTCATGTATCCCTATCATCACAGATCATCCAAGCAGAGCATGTCATGTTGCTCAAAATTGATAGAAGTCAACCAATATTTGCCTCCATTTTTATCACCAACTTGTCTACTTGCCTTTTCTTAACCTTAGTTGGATCAACAATAGTGGTTCTTGTTCCTTCGGTTGAGAAGATGCTTTTATTTCTGAGGGATCCTGGACTCACCATTGCACACCAATAAACTGACCACCTTTAACTAGATTTTTATTTCAAAACAACAAACATGTTAGAATGAACACTCTCTTTCTTTTCCCTTTTTTTTTTCTCTTTTTTTTTTGTTTTTTTAAACCATTCGATCGAACCTGATATGGGTTGCCTACGTATCATGTAAGAACATGAATCAGATCTTGCGTAGTTCGGAAAAATCAGAAATAAGGTAGATAAACTAACTCTTTTTGGATTTTGATTTTTTTTTTTTAATTTTCGAAAGAAAGACTTATAAAGAAGAAAGAAAATATTTTTGGATTTTGATTTTTTTTTTTTAATTTTCGAAAGAAAGACTTATAAAGAAGAAAGAAAATATTTTTGGAATTTGATTTTTTTTTTTAAATTTGTTTTCCGAAAGAAGGACTTCTACATATGAAAAAAAATATTTTTGGAATTTTTTTTTTTTTGAATTTTTGGGAGAAAGACTTCCAAAAAAGGAAAAAAAAATATATTTTTGAATTTTGGTTGAATTTTTTTTTTTGAATGAAAGACTTCTATAAAGGAAGAAAATGTTTTAGGTTTTTAATTTTTTTTTTCGTATTTGAAATTTTTTAAGGAAAGACTTATAAAGAGGAATTAAAAGAAAATATTTTTGAATTTTTAAAAATTGGGGGCTGGAATCGATTAGGTTTGCCTACGTATCACATTCGATAGAATCAGACCCGCATAGGTTGGTAAATTTTGACGCAACAGGAAAATATGACTTATTTTGAAATTTTCTCTCTTTTTTTTCAAAATTTCGGCAAAGTTTTCGGATATTTTGAATACCGAAGTTTTCAGAACCGGGTGATTTTCACTCCTACCTCACTCTTGGTTTTTCTCGATTTTCTTTCCCTATTCTAGAAGCCGGTCAACATGCAAGCCGAAACAGACATGCACAAGTAGCACGTAAAATGCATCAAGATGGTCTTTTATATTGGGTACACCTATCCTAGACGGACCCAACCCATGTGTTGAATCCCCAAAGTCAAATGCACGTGATGCAAATAAAAGTTCCTACTAGGGATCCGACATGAGGCTATGTTATTCTAAGTTTGAATCCTGAGGTGTGTTGTTCTAGATTTGGCTTATCCGAGCGGACAACTTGAGCCGAGGGGGGAAACGCACCAGAAACCAAAAGGCCATCCGGCTTTGTAACTGATTTGATCCTCGTTCTAAAATCAGGGATATGACACTCTAATAGAAAAGAAGCCACGCCAGCGTGCGCTTCCCAGAAAATTTAGAAGACTCAGAGAGAAGGGTTTCACAACTCTTTTATATACATTTCAAATAATATCAAAGCGGTAAAAAGCGACATTTAGCACATTAGGCTCAAACACGTAAAAATCATATAATAAGCAAAAGCCAAGTATAACTGTTATTCTAAGCTCGAATTCCGAACCCTGAACCAGAGATTCTAGGTTCATGTCCCCAGCAGAGTCACCAGAGCTGTCACACTTCCTTTTTCCCGAGGGATAGGGGATAAGGAGTTTTTTCAATTAAAGTGACGTTATTCGAAATAGGATTATTTATTTAATTCAGAGTCGCCACTTGGAATAATTATTATGGTGTCCCAAGTCACCAGTTTATTTTAAAATCTCAAATTGAGGAAATTGACTCTATTTATGGTCCACGAACACAGAAGACCGGGTAAGGAATTCTGTTAACTTGGGAGAAGGTGTGAGGTACTCCCGAGTTCCGTGGTATTAGCACGGTCACTTAACAATTAATACGTGGCCTAATTATTTGATTTATTACATGTTTTAAACCTATTGTGCATTTTCGCTTTTAATTATTTTAAACAATTATGAAGTTTATTTAAACAAGTTGCGGTGTCGCGCACTTGTTATTTTTGAACACATCACAAATTACGCCACGTGAAACGCACTCGTGATTCACAATATTTTATTTTAATTATTATTTAAAATTGTAGTCAAGTCGCGTGAAACACGCACTTGTGTTGGGAGTCACGTATATCATGACTATGCCACGAGAACCGTACCCGTAATCACGATAATTTATTATTAATCACGCCTAAAGCAGGCTACGATGTGAGTTATAGCTCTAAAACTAATTTAAGATTGATTGCGGGTCCATATATTATGGATTTTGTGGGAGAAGTGTAGGACTGAATTCATTGGAAATTAATAAGAGAATCAGTTTTATATACTAAGTTATTAGAAATTTGCGTCATTTAAATGAATTACTATAATCTATGTTTACAACTATTTAACAGGTTACAAGTTAATCTAATCAAGGGATCTAATTGCTAAAAGAGTCAATTAGCATAAAAGTGTTTGAAGTTATTAGGCGGGTTAGCCCCCCTTTTATAAAAAATGGACACCAAAATTGTTGGGCCTAGTACCTTCATTTGGCCCATAGGAATATAATTAAAATGAAAGCAGTAGCAGTCTTCTACAGCCCAAGCCTATACCTTTCTTAATTAATCCCGAAGCCCTCGTATCTTAGCAATCCATTTTGTCAAACTCTATTCTTTCTAAATTAATTCAAAACAGAGATTTCCATAAACTTACATCAAAATCAATCACATGATAATAAAGATGACATTAACACACAGAAAAGCTTAAGAAAATATATTCATTCACGGCACAATTATGTTAACGAAAGAGAGAAATTGACCTTTGAGCTTGCCTCTTCCAAACTTTATTTAACAGAAAAGAACTCTAAGCAATTATTCGTACAGCAACGGCTAAAATGAACGACAACCGAACTCGACCAACAGGAATTTTCTCGGAGCTTCAACGAAAAACCTCAACTCGGAACATAACCACGCGACGAACTCGACTCGGAAAATGTGGATTGTTTTTAAATGGGGGTTTTGACTCGTTTTATAGGCCGTTTTTCAGCTGAATCGGGGCCTTTTGGGGGCCATTTTCGAGCTGGGTTTTGGCTAAGATTTTGGTGTCGTTTTGGGTGGAAGAGAGCAGCTGGTTTTTGGTGGTTAAAGAAAACTGCTTCTCATGGCTAAAACTTGAGTTAGGAGAATTAAATTGTGAAGAAGAAGAGAAGGCAGTGACTACTTTCTTCTTTCTCCTTATTCACTCGTTTTTAGCCTCTGTTTCTTCTTTTTTTCTTTTCGGATCTCTCTTCTCTCTCAACCTTTGTGCTCTCGTTCCTCTCCTCTCTTCTTTTCTGTCGTGTGTGTATGTAGCTGAATGGGAGTGTGCAGGTGAATTTGGATGAGAGGGAATAAATATGGTTATGGAGAAAGGCTAGATGTCACAAAGCAATTCGTTCTAAAGAAAAAGAATATTTGAATAAGCTAGAATGAGGTAAAGGGCACGTGATATAGAGCAAAAATTAAGGGAAAGGGGACCACTTAAAATTCTTTCTTACTTCATTTCCAACTTTGTTATTCTCGTTTCTTCTTCTTTTTTTTATTTTTGCTTTTGTTTGTTTTTAATTTTTCTTTCCTTTCTTTTTTCCTAAAGTTAAACCAAAAATACTAATTGTCTAAATAATAGGAAATAACTAAAAATAAAACAAAATAGCCAAATTAAAGAAATTTTAATACTACTCAATACTTATTAAAAGCCTAAAACTTTAAAACTAAACTAAGTAAATATATTTTTTGAAATTTTCTTCTTATATTTTGAAAAATAAAATGTCAAGGCTATTTTTTGTATTTTTTTTTTCAAGAGTACAACTAATTAGACAAAATATCAACTAAGAAAATATATTTTGTAGTTTTTTGATTTTTAAGATAAGATAAAGCAAAAGAGTCAAAACTAATAAAAATAGTAAATTAGACAAAAAAGAAATATATAAGCACTAAGATGTGTAAAATTTTGTGGAGGATAAAAAATTACATGTCTACACACCTAATGTTAATAAACTCTTCAGATTTGCTCCTAACCCCAATGGCCCTAGTAAACTCCATTCTTGCGCACCCCCCACCCCTAAAAGAATAACCTCCCCACCCCACCCCACCCCACGACTAACCTCAACTTCTTTCCCGTATTCAGGAGGCCATTGCCACTTTTCATACATAAATATGCCATCTTTAATCCCCAAATGCTGAATATAATTGCTTAATTATATCCCAAATTTTATTTTTATCTTTTATTGTTTGAATTTGTTTCAATTTGCTCCTTCAGGTTTCAGCTTCTGCCGGAAAAATGGATGGATCAACACTCCACAAAAATAAAAACAGCATTGTAGACTCATTTTTACGGAATTATAAGCTCGGGAAAACACTTGCATTGGATCGTTTGGCAAAGTTAAAATAGCAGAACATACCTTAACAGTGCACAAAGTTGTCAAAATTCTTAATCGTCAGAACAAAAAAGAACTTCAATATCTGCTGAACAGGATAGACCCATTTGGGTATACTTCAAGCCTGATATCGCCAGCTAACAATTTCGCTCAAACTTCAACAAATCACAATACCCATTTTATGATCTTTACAAATCCTTCAATGGTGCCATAAAGTAATACGAAAAGCATAAGAGGATAGATTTGAACTATTTACCATAGTACAAGAGTACCTTTTCCCTTATTTCTTTATTCTATTTCCCCAAATAACCTTCATCACAGACTATGTAGTACTGAGAGAAAAGTTCTAGCAATTATATAATCGGAAAGTTTTCCTTACAAAGAATATGAGACAGCTTCACACAAAAAGCCAAGAAACTTACAAGTTACAACCCCAAATGAACTTAACCATTCAATGTTGTCAAAAATTCAAAAGTTATAAAACAAAAAGAAGAAAAAAAACTAACATTGAATATGAGAATCACAGTCATTGAATATGAGAATCCACATACAACTACAGGGCATTAACGACTTGGATATTAATATTTTTGAGATATGTCTCAAAAAATTTAAATAATATCAAACAGATACAAACCGAACCTAAGCCTTTAATTACATGCACAAAAGGTCGTCTTCACTGGGTGGAGGGCGCAGCTAGTTTGGCTCTCAGTTCTTTCCTCAGTATCTTTCCAGACGGAGACTTTGGAATAGCGTGAATAAAATACACCTTGTGCAATCTTTTATAGAATATCACCTGCATATCATTTTATGTAGAATTTTTATGAGCATATATTGAGAAAAAAAAAACTCAATCTTTTTCAGAATTATTGAGAGCTAAGTGGTGAGAAAATCTGTACCTGTTTGGCAATAAATTCCTTTATAGCTTCTTCAGTAATTTCAAAACCATTGGCGGAGCGGACCACAAATGCAACTGGGACTTCCCCTGCCGCATCATCTTTTTGCCTGCACAAATTGTTAAACAATTAACCTAATTTATACATTCAAATTAATACATGCATATATTTGTGTAATTAATCAGTGTGGAGTTGTATTGCACTTACGGTACAACAGCAGCATCTGCAATATCTGGATGGCTTACTAGAAGGGACTCAAGCTCAGCTGGTGGCACCTAACAACATTTAAAGTTAAATTGGTTAGTGAACTCCTTAGTAATTCTAGTTTTTCTGGTATTGAGATGTCACTCCAGAAGTGAGCTCTAACTCAATTGTGCTAAAACCCATCCCATAAAATCAGTAGCGTAGCAAGAAATTCCGTCAAAGGTGTTCAAACTTTAAACAAACCAATAATTGTTTTTGTTGATAAATGGTGTACGTTTTAGATCAAACTACGCAACATTTAGCTAAACAACCTGCTATTTTGAACTCCGTTTAGTTTCGACAAATAAAATGGGCAGAACTTTGAACCCGTGAATAGCAGGTCACTTGGAACACCCTGAACCGTTGGATTGCCTCGCTCAACTGCGTTAAGGGTGTTCAAAATATAATATATAACTATATAAAGTACTATTTAACTTATATACGCAGTATAATTTTTAGACGAATGATATGCACTTGACCACCCTTGACATAGGATGGTTACACCACTGCATAAAACATAGAAGATAGATGAGTAATTAAGCATTTGTACCTGGAATCCTTTGAACTTGATAAGCTCTTTGACTCTATCGACGATGTATATTTCATCATCGTCATCTACGTATCCTATATCACCAGTGTGGAGCCATCCATCGACATCTATGGTCCGTGCCGTGGCCTCATCATCATTCAGATAACCTAATTGACATATATAATGTTTAATATAAATATGATTGTCTAGATTATTTGAATAGATAACTAAAAAAAATTTGTTATGATTTTCCGAGCATTAGTTACCATTTTGAGTGATTTGATTGCGTAAAAATAAATTTTTTCCTACTGCAGTATATAAAAGTTAAATTCATAATAAATTATAATTACCTTTCATGATTTGGGAACCACGGATGCAAATTTCGCCGGGTTGGTTGCGGCCGAGGGAGCCACCAGTTTCGGGGTCGACCACCTTGAGGTCTGCATTTCGAACTACTGAACCACATGAGCCAGATTTGGTTGAAAATGGTTGCTTTGCAAATGCTGGGCACATTGTTACTACTGGTCCTGCCTCTGTCATACCATACCCCTGCCAATTTACGTTCAATTTCACTAATTAAGCGCAATACAATTTTTATGGTTCGGATCTACAGTACTAATTATACAAAAACTAGTAAATTTATCCGCGTTTCGCAGTTGTGGATAACATCACCGAATTCCTACTTATTTCTTGTAAATTCTCTATAATCTAAATTGCTAAAAGTATTCAATCCCATAAAAATATAGTTATATTTAAAAATAAAAACTATTAACAGATATTTTACAAGTATATTAATCCTATTTCCGAAAAGTTTGCGATCTGATTATATTTTATGATCGCAAGTCGAATATATGACCCACTAAAATTGGTCAACTTGGCTTCTATCTTAACCTAATATATTCATGAGTGTAATAAATAATAGTATGTGATAGATAT